GATCAAGTGTTCTTGAATTCCCATTCTTTGCAATGTTATCCATAGTTTGCTATGATCCATACAGTTGAATGCCTTTGTATAGTCAATAAAGCACAAGTAAACATCTTTTTGGTATTCTCTGCTTTTAGCCAAGATCCATTTGACATTAGTAGTGATATCCCTTGTTCCATGTCCTCTTCCAAATCTGGCTTGAATCTCTGGCAGATCCCTGTCGCTGTTCTGCACAGACAAGTGAGCACCTGCAGTGCTGCATCAGTTGGTTGAAACATTTCAGTTGTTACTCTGTCAACACCGGAAGCCTTGTTTTCTACCAATGCCTTCAGTGCAGCTTGGAGTCTCCTTTCAATATCATTGATTCTTGATTATGTGGTGCCTCTTGAAATGACTGCGCTCAACCAGTTATTTTTGGTACAGTGACTCTGTGTCTTTCCATCATCTTTTGATGCTTCCTTTGCCATTTTATATTTTGCCCATAGAATCCTTCAATATCACAAGTTGAGGCTTGATTTTTTTCTTCACTTCTTTCAGCCTGAGATATGCTGAGTGTGTCCTTACCTTCTGGTTTTCTAGCTCTAGTTCTTTGCACATTTCATTATAATACTTGGCTTTGTTTTCTCAAGCTGCCCTTTGAAATTTTCTATTTAGCTCTTTTCCTTCATCATTTCTTCTAGATGCTTTAGGTTCTCTATGTTCAAGAGCAAGTATTCATTTTTTCTGAAATCAGCTTTGGTCTTTTCTTTCTTGCCTTTTTAATGACATTTTGCTTCTTTCTAAATGATGTTCTTGATGTCATCCCACTACTCCTCTGGTCTTTGGTCATTAGTGTCTAATGCACCACATGTGTTCTTGATATGGTCTCTAAATTCAGGTGAGACATACTCAGCATCATATTTTGGCTCTTGTGAACTTGTTTAAATTTTCTTCAGCTTCAGCCTGAACTTACATGTGAACAATTGATGGTCTGTTCCACAGTCAGCCTTCTTTTGGTTGATAACATTGAGTTTCTCCATTGTCTCTAACCACACTTATAGTCCATTTGATTCCTGTGTGTTCCATCTGGCGAGGTGCAGGTGCCTTTTATGTTATTGACAAAAGGTATTTGCAATGAATAAGTCATTGGTCTTGCAAAATTCTGTCATGCAATCTCCAGCATAATTTCTATCACCAAGACTGTACTTTGCTAGCACAGATCCTTTATCTTTGTTTCCAACTTTCAACTTCGAATCACCAGTAACTATCAATATCTCTCTATCTTTTTTTTTTTTTTTTGATCATGACTCAGGGTGACCCCATGTGTGTCAGAGTCAAACTGCTCCATAGGGTTTTTTTGTTTTGTTTTTTGTTTTGTATTTAATGTTTTATTGTGAATTATGTGATAGTTTACATGGGAGAACATTAGCTTTACATTCATCCTATCGTATTTTGTTTCATTGCCATGGTTACAATCCCCTCCATGCATCCTCAACCACCCCTGTCATCAGCACACAGTCGCTCTCCCTCTTTGGGTCTAAAGTCCCCAGCTGCTCCATCTCTCCATGTCATCGTCTCTGCCTCCATCTTAGGCATCACTGCTTCTCTGGGTAGGGTCCTGCTCTCAGCTCTTCTCCCTTGATGGTCCCAGGGACCTACTCTCCTAGACTGCAAAGTCAATCATTCCTCTCCTTTTGCTACAAAATGTCTACCTTTACATTTCCAACCCTCACAATCAGTCCTGATAACAATTGTTCACTATTGTATCACAAGAGACCTATCCACATCTCCTTTCATCAGCCCCGCCCAGACAGATTGGATACTATGCAGTGGAGATTTTACCTTCCTCTGTGCCCTCTGGATCTAGGCTCCCTATTAAAAGCTTGTAAGCCAGTCACGTCTTGCCTTTGTAGCACCCCCTATTTTGGGTAGCCAATATCTAAGTTGCCCATCCCTGTCTACTCTGTGTATTGAGGGGATAGGAATGATCCTTGCTGTAAAGATTTGTTCCCTTTGTTGAGCTACTGCATCCATAGGTGTAGGTCAAGTACATCAAATTGTATCAGATTACTTCTTTTTTCCTCTTCTTTCTTCTTCTAGTTGAGCTCTGATCATCCAGTCATTGAAGCCAGGTCAAATGGGTATTATCTGCAAGTGTGGGTGTTCTTATGCATATGCCCTCTCTTCTTATCAGCTGGATGCTTCACTCTCCACTCTAGTCCTCTGTGGCTATGTCACTGACTCTGGGCCCAAGAGTCCCCAGGTCTTGCCACACTGCTGGCCAACCAGGTCTCCACCCGGGTTCACAGGAGTCTATTGAACATTGTAGGGCTTAGCTCGCAGCTTCATTGCTGTTTTCCCCTCACTTGCCCTTATCGGTGATGAATGTGGTCACCAATCAGAGCATGTATTCCCATTGAGTCTTAGTCTTGGAAGGGGGTTTGCCCTGAGGGGACCTGACTACTTTCCTTGATGTCTCCTGGGCGAGCATATGGCTTGTTCTTGTAGTAATCAGTTAGACTGCCATTATTGTTTTGTATTTTTCCTGTCGGTCTTTCTTTGAAGAAGTATCTTCTGTTCTTCTAGCCAATCCAGGCTGGTCTGCTTGTCCTTTCAAGTGGAAATTTCCCACCTCAGAAAATTCTGGATGCAGTTCAGGATTCCACCTATGGTCTTAATGTAATGCAGAGGCTTTGCAGGAAGCCTCCTTCACTGGAAACGTTGTAGCCCCATTTTAGGCATTCCAACCAGTTATAGACAGACTTACAAACTTTCTATGGTGATGTTTCTGGCTATTTCTTTCTCTCACACTCATGTCTATTTTATAATGGTATGCCAGGGAAACCAAGGTTCAAAAGACAGTCAAGCATTGTAACATTATTTCCCCCCCCTTTCCCCATTTCAACCATGTCTCAATCTCTGTATTCCAGAGCCCTGTTGTTCCAAGGTTGTACATACATCATTGTTTACCTCTGTCCCAATTAACCCATGAAAACCTGTCTCATTGTTTTCCTATCCGCTTTGTTCTCCATTCTCCTCCCCCTCCTTGTGTATTGCCCCTCTCCCTAGCACCCAAACCATCCTGTGTATATTCCCTGCCCTGTGCTCCACTCCCCTCCCTCCCCTCCCCTGATCTCCCACATCCTGGTAACCAGAAAAGAATCTTCCCGCCCCCACTTTATTATACGTTCTTTTTCTTAGTCTTTTAAAGTAGTGGGCCTATGCAGTATTTCTCCTTTTATGACTGACTAATTTCACTCTACATAATGTCCTCAAGGTTCATTCATGTTATATGGTGGCTTGCAGCTTCCTTGTTATTCTTCAAGGTAGCATAATATTTCATTGTGTGTATGTACTACAGTTTGTTTATCTATTCTTCCATAGATAGGCTCTTAGGCTGTCTCCATCTTTTTGCTATTGTAAATAGTGCTGCTATGAACATTATTGTGCATATATCTACTTGTCTTATGGCTCATATTTCTTGTGGGTAAATACCAAATAGAGGAATTTCTGGGTCATAAGCTATTTCTATTTCCAACCTTCTGAGGAAGCATCATATTGCTTTCCAGAGAG